TTCAGTTCTAGTTCAGTTCTAGTTCAGTTCTAGTTCAGTTCTAGTTCAGTTCTAGTTCAGTTCTAGTTCAGTTCTAGTTCAGTTCTAGTTCAGTTCTAGTTCAGTTCTAGTTCAGTTCTAGTTCAGTTCTAGTTCAGTTCTAGTTCAGTTCTAGTTCAGTTCTAGTTCAGTTCTAGTTCTAGTTCAGTTCTATTTCAGTTCTATTTCAGTTCTAGTTCAGTTCTAGTTCAGTTCTAGTTCAGTTGAAAATCGGATTATTTTGTAGTAGGATTCCCTCCCCTTATTCAGTAACATCAACTTAACAAATGTATTGTTTCTTTGCAACTGCTTGTAACTTAAACTTTCTGGTTTTATTAGTTTTGTTTTTATATTTCGTCTTTAAATTGTTTTAATATGTTTGTTAGTAAACTTATGATAAATGTTGTAACATTAGCTGGGAAGTGCTTTGTAATTGGTGGCAGCCAAAAAACAGCAAAAAACCATAGAAATATCATGCTATTTTCAAAATATCTAAAACAGTTGAAATAGAGAGAGATTTGCGTTTGGTTTTGATGCGCTGTATATATATATAATTATTGGGTTTCTTGTACAAATTGTCTATGCAATTATTGCTAAATACATGGTTTAATATGAGCTTGGAAAATATCTTCAAAATTAAGACATTAAATTTTTTTCTTTTCTTTTTTTTTTTGGAAATTTTCCTTTTTTGCGGAGATTTTTCGTGTGTCTAAATTGAAACAGGTTTGTAGCTTAAGTCTTTTGTTTTAGGTATTTATGTTTGTTTTGGCTGCAAGTAGTGAGCCTTTTTATTAATTGCGGAGGCAGGCGTGATTTGGTACTTTAATCTTTAAAAGAGTGAGTAATTTTCAGGAGATAACTTTAGTTCTTAAAAGGAGAAAAATTAAAGTGAAATAAGCACATTTTGAGAGTGAGATTTTATTCAGTCATTTACATTAAGTTGGTAAAACGCTGTTTTTTTAAACATTTATAAGTTTTATGATGAAATTAATTTTGTAAATCTTTTGTTTTTTATACTCAAAACCTGTGTTTAAGTCAAAAAACCAGGCCATTTAATACCGAATTATATATGACTAGTTGACGTCAAAAATAAGACTATTGTCATTAGTCGGTACCAGTTTCTTAATTTTCTATTTAAACTAATTTGCCTAATCTGTTTAAAACAAACTGTTGTTAATTAATTTAATTTAAGCTGTCAATAAATTCGACTTAATGATAAAAACCATTTCTTCAAAAATTTTGCTCTTAATAAATGAAATAACAAAATGTTAATTAGTTAGAACAGCCCCTTGTGACACTAAACACACTACAAAAATATAAAAATACATAAAATTTTTTTTTAATAAATTTGATCATAAAATTTTGTGATTTCGATAAAACTGTAACAACAAACAAGCAGCTTATTATTTAAGAAAAACAACAACATTTCTTAACAAGTTTCTATTTGGTAGGAAAGTAATAAAAACTGCCGCTAGTGTGTCAAAAAACAGCTTTAAAACATAAAATATAAGCTTAAAAATTTAAATAAATATTAAAATTTAATAAAAACGGAGCAGTTTTCTTCTAAAGTTTAAAAACAATAACTGCAAATATTTGAATATTTCATTAAAATAACAAAAATATTTTTGTGTTAAAATAGACCAATTTGTTGTTGCTTTTTGTAGGACCATTAAATATTATAAAAATCGTCATAAAAAACTAATAGTTTCAACATTTATAATAAAACAGGTGATATGTGTGTTTTTTGTGTGTAAAATGTTTTCAAAATAAAATCAAGTAGTTTAGGGGCTTTTATACAAATATTTTTAATTTGCATATTTAGTTAAAATGTCGTTGATATCATAAAATATAATTATGAATATTTATTTCAATTTTAAAGAGTTACTAAAAATAGTATTTTCATAAATATTCAAAATGAATGGAATTCGTTCAACCAAAGTGACTTTTCAATAACATTGAGTTGAGTTTAAACTAAGATTAAAAATGTTATCAAATGATCAACATGAAGACCGTAAGGTTTAAAACTAGAACTATAGTGACTGGGGAGGAATACAGGTTAACTATATAAAGTCCTAGAATAAAGACTGTAACCTAGACAAGGATAGAAATGATCCGGAAAACTAAACTAGAATTGAACTTAACACTGAACTAGAACTTAATTATAACCGAACTAGAAACTGAATTAAACTGAACTAGAACTGAACTAGAACTGAACTAGAACTAGAACTGAACTAGAACTGAACTAGAACTGAACTAGAACTGAACTAGAACTGAACTAGAACTGAACTAGAACTGAACTAGAACTGAACTAGAACTGAACTAGAACTGAACTAGAACTGAACTAGAACTGAACTAGAACTGAACTAGAACTGAACTAGAACTGAACTAGAACTGAACTAGAACTGAACTAGAACTGAACTAGAACTGAACTAGAACTGAACGAACTAGAACTGAACTAGAACTGAACTAGAACTGAACTAGAACTGAACTAGAACTGAACTAGAACTGAACTAGAACTGAACTAGAACTGAACTAGAACTAAACTAGAACTGAACTAGAACTGAACTAGAACTGAACTAGAACTGAACTAGAACTGAACTAGAACTGAACTAGAACTGAACTAGAACTGAACTAGAACTGAACTAGAACTGAACTAGAACTGAACTAGAACTGAACTAGAACTGAACTAGAACTGAACTAGAACTGAACTAGAACTGAACTAGAACTGAACTAGAACTGAACTAGAACTGAACTAGAACTGAACTAGAACTGAACTAGAACTGAACTAGAACTGAACTAGAACTGAACTAGAACTGAACTAGAACTGAACTAGAACTGAACTAGAACTGAACTAGAACTGAACTAGAACTGAACTAGAACTGAACTAGAACTGAACTAGAACTGAACTAGAACTGAACTAGAACTGAACTAGAACTGAACTAGAACTGAACTAGAACTGAACTAGAACTGAACTAGAACTGAACTAGAACTGAACTAGAACTCAACTAGAACTACTAGAACTGAACTAGAACTGAACTAGAACTGAACTAGAACTGAACTAAACTGAACTAGAACTGAACTAGAACTGAACTAGAACTGAACTAGAACTGAACTAGAACTGAACTAGAACAAACTAGAACTGAACTAGAACTGAACTAGAACTGAACTAGAACTGAACTAGAACTGAACTAGAACTGAACTAGAACTGAACTAGAACTGAACTAGAACTGAACTAGAACTGAACTAGAACTGAACTAGAACTAATAGAACTGAACTAGAACTGAACTAGAACTGAACTAGAACTGAACTAGAACTGAACTAGAACTGAACTAGAACTGAACTAGAACTGAACTAGAACTGAACTAGAACTGAACTAGAACTGAACTAGAACTGAACTAGAACTGAACTAGAACTGAACTAGAACTGAACTAGAACTGAACTAGAACTGAACTAGAACTGAACTAGAACTGAACTAGAACTGAACTAGAACTGAACTAGAACTGAACTAGAACTGAACTAGAACTGAACTAGAACTGAACTAGAACTGAACTAGAACTGAACTAGAACTGAACTAGAACTGAACTAGAACTGAACTAGAACTGAACTAGAACTGAACTAGAACTGAACTAGAACTGAACTAGAACTGAACTAGAACTGAACTAGAACTGAACTAGAACTGAACTAGAACTGAACTAGAACTGAACTAGAACTGAACTAGAACTGAACTAGAACTGAACTAGAACTGAACTAGAACTGAACTAGAACTGAACTAGAACTGAACTAGAACTGAACTAGAACTGAACTAGAACTGAACTAGAACTGAACTAGAACTGAACTAGAACTGAACTAGAACTGAACTAGAACTGAACTAGAACTGAACTAGAACTGAACTAGAACTGAACTAGAACTGAACTAGAACTGAACTAGAACTGAACTAGAACTGAACTAGAACTGAACTAGAACTGAACTAGAACTGAACTAGAACTGAACTAGAACTGAACTAGAACTGAACTAGAACTGAACTAGAACTGAACTAGAACTGAACTAGAACTGAACTAGAACTGAACTAGAACTGAACTAGAACTGAACTAGAACTGAACTAGAACTGAACTAGAACTGAACTAGAACTGAACTAGAACTGAACTAGAACTGAACTAGAACTGAACTAGAACTGAACTAGAACTGAACTAGAACTGAACTAGAACTGAACTAGAACTGAACTAGAACTGAACTAGAACTGAACTAGAACTGAACTAGAACTGAACTAGAACTGAACTAGAACTGAACTAGAAACTGAACATGAAACTGACCTAGAAACTGAACTAGAACTGAACTAGAACTGACTAGAACCTGAACTAGCACTGAACTAGAAACTGAACTAGAACTGCCCTACTAGAAACTGAACTAGCAACTTGGAAAAACACTAGAACTGAAACTAGAACTGACTAGACCTGAACTAGAACTGAACTAGACTGAACTAGAACTGAACTAGACTGAACTAGAACTAACTAGAGCTGAACTAGAACTGCAATCACTACTTTAGGACCATAGACAAGCTATATACTGATCTATAATCTAGTCTATACGAAATATATTTTTTTAAATTAAAATTTCAAAACAGCGTCATGCTAAGCAAACATAACACAACCAAATTTAACAATATTTTTATTTCTATTTTATGTCTCTTAACGTATGATAAATTTTATTATAATTTTTTTGCCACATTAATAAAAAACCGAATTATTATACCTGTATTGTTTACGCTCGTTAAATTATTAATACAAGATTCAAATTCTGGTTATCTCAGCCATTTTTTTTTGTTTTTGTTGTTGTTAAAGTCATAAAAATATTTGTAGCAATATTTATTTTGGCTCGTCTGAACTAAGTCAGCAACGCAAAAAAGCATAATAAATTCAAAAAGATTTAAACGTTATATTTTATTACTGGAAAGTAATAAAACAAACGAAATATGTAAAACACTTACCGCATATGGATTATCCTGATTCATCATTGAAGAAGAATGTGGGGTGGAAAAAAAGCTGTAAAAAGAAAGAAATAAAAATATATAACGTTATTAGAATTTGTTTATAAAGACAAGTGCCTTGTCGAATAATGTTTATATTTCTATTGTTTTATTTCAAAAAAATCTATGGACTGCCAAATGGTAGCAAAAAATATTTGGTCATAAATCGGCATGTGTCTTAAGTCTTTTGTTTTACTGTTATGTCAGTTATAAAAACAAAGAAATTTTTTAAAACATTTAAATTTTTGTCAATAATAAAATCAACAATTTCTAAAGATTTGTAAGATTAACGAGATTATTAATAATAATAAAACAGCTTTGTTAGTGATTTATATATCAGCAAGCTGAAACAAAGCTTTTTTTAAAGGTAGAAAAAAACAAATAATGAAAAACTGCAAAATTAAGATGATTTATTTTTGGGACAAAAAAATCGCTAAAAGGTCGCTTGCACCGAATAGAGAACGGAAAAGTTTTGAACAGGGTATTAAATAACCCAAATTGGAACTGAAACTAGAACTGAATTAGAACTGAACTAGAACTGAAGTAGAAATGAACTAGAACTGAAGTAGAGATGAATTAGACTGAACTAGAACTGAACTAGAACTGAAACTAGAATGAACTGGAACTGAACTAGAACTGAACTAGAACTGAACTAGAACTGAACTAGATGAACTAGAACTGAACTAGAACTGAACTAGAACTGAACTAGAAGAACTAGACTGAACTAGAACTGAACTAGAACTGAACTAGAACTGAACTAGAACTGAACTAGAACTGAACTAGAACTGAACTAGAACTGAACTAGAACTGAAACTAGAACTGAACTAGAACTGAACTAAACTTGAACTAGAACTGAACTAGAAATGAACTAGAACTGAACTAGAACTGAACTAGAAACTGAACTAGAACTGAACTAGAACTGAAGAACTGAACTAAGAAACTGAACTAGAACTGAACTAAAACTGAGAACTGAACTAGAATGAACTAAAAACTAGAACTGAACTAGAAAACTTGAACTAGAAACATGAACTACACATGAACTAGAACTGAACTAGAACTGACCTAGAACTGAAATGAACTAGAACTGCAACGAAAATGGAATGAACTCGACCTGAGGCTTAGTTTGGGTCCCGCTAGACCTTAAGGACTTCATGATTGAAGCTAAAATTGAACTCTGTATAGTTCGAAAAATGAGGTTTGGATTCCGGAACTCTCTAATAAACCATAATAGAATCTTGACTGCAGCTTTTAAATAACCAGCAATTTAAGCTCAACATCTGCCGTTCTCAATTTATGTTTTTCATCCAGGAAGTTTTATTTTTTTACTAAGTTAAAAACATTTAAATTCTTTCTTAATCTTTTTATAATAAATCATTGATCTAAGTATAATTTACATTTAATTTATAACTTTATGACAGTTTTAAAATGTTTTTATACCACAATTAATGTAACAACTCCAATATAAAGCTTGTGTCTTAAGTCTTTTGTTTGCATACTCGCCAATAACTCATTATCAAGCTTGTGTCTTAAATCTTTTGTATTGTAAGCTAGACTAGACAGTAATTGAAAAATTATTATAATTTTGTCATGTTACTAAATATGTAAATCAATTAAAGCATTTAAACAAATTAAAAATAGTAGAAGTAAATAAATAATATACATTTTGCAGATGCATGAAGATCCGCCTTAAATTTAATTATTTATAAAAATAAAAAAATAAAACGTTTAACTTAAATAAATAAGAAAACAACAACAAGAAATTGCAAACAAAATATATAAAACAGAACAGTAAACACCATAGAAACAACTACAGCTCAAGTTAATTTTACAAGTCAAGGTCGTTGTTAAGACTTTCAGAAAAAAAAATTTTAAAAAAATTGCAAAAAAAAGGAAAAAAATACAGAACATCTGCAAATAAACTAAAGATTTGAGAAAATTTATATTTTTTATAGCATTTTTCAAGAAAAACGTTTTTGTTTAACAAACAAAAGAAGTGCTAAATGTTATAAATATTAAATGTTAACTAATATAGAACAGAAAATAAACATTATGATGCAGTCAAGAAAATAGAGCTTTTTTTTTGAAACTTAAGCAACAACACCTGTTTCCATTTAACACAATGCAATAAGTTTGAAAAAAATTTAAAGTCTAAATTAAATATAATTAAACATTTTCTAACATTGTTGTTATTTTTGCTATATTTTTGCTTAGAGTATTTAACTATTTATGTAAACAATAAATGTAAAACAGTTTAAGTCTTCTTTGTTGATGGCAAAAAGTTGTTGAAAAAAATGTACAATTTTTAGATGGGTGCAGTCTGTTTTTTTGTAGTTTTATATGTAAACGATTTTTTATTATTCTATATTAAAACTTTACGTTTGTATTTGTTTTTGTGTGGCAAACAGAATAAAAAACAAATGGTTAATAATATTAACTAATGATGGTTACATTGTTTTTAGATAGATTTTTTGTTTTTTTTTTAAGCAAACGTTTATTTTGTTTTTAGTTTTGAAAATGTCATAGCATTGTCTCCAAGGGCGTGTTGCAGTAACCGGAGACGACAACAACGTTCAGAACGAGTAGACAAAATGTGATTTGAAAACATTTGTCAACACACTTGCCAGATAAATGATATTAAGGTCAGTTAGATATAATTGGTGGAAAATTAAGAAGATTTGATATTACATTTTTTTTTTAAATTTTGTATAGAAAAGTCTTAAGATTGCAACACTATTTGGATTTTGATTTTGTGCCAATATTCTAGTTGAAGCATTTAAGTTTATAACTTAACTTAGGTAATACCCCCAATACGTTATCATCTGCAATTGTTGCTGCTAGTGACTCACAAATAACTCTTGAATTCGATTGTGAACCAAGCTTAACTTAAATCGTCCATATATTTACTATTAAAGCTTTACGTGGACTACTTAAAGACTTCTGATTTAAACTTAATGAAAACTATAATTAGAAGTTAAATTCACATCTATAGTTCAATTTGGAATCTTAAAAGATTTCCTTTCGAGGCTAAACTGAAGCACATAAAAGGCCCAAGTTTGTGGCTTGATATAGAGTATGTAAGGATTCATAACTAGAGTTAAACTTAAGCTATCAAAAGTCCTTTGTTTGAATATCATTAAAGCATAACTTCGACTTTTAAAAGACCTAGAAATGCAGCTCAATTTAGACTATTTAAAGAAAAGCAATTAAAGCTCAACTTAGACAATAAAATTATCATCGAAGAATCATAGATGGGAGCTACCATTGGAGCGTAAATTTAACTCATAAAAAATCCATCACTGAAGCACAACTTTAACTCTTAAATAAATGGACAATTGAAGCTCAACTTAGGCTATTTAAAGACTCTCTATTAAAACCCATAGTTGGCTCTTAAAACCCTAACAATTGAAGCTTAAACTCGACTCTTAAAGATGCTCTACTAAAGCTCTACTTTTGATATCTAGTAAACTACGATTTATGCTCAACTTATACTATTTAAGACCCGAAGAATAATATTCATTTTTGAATTTAAAATAAGCTCATTATAAAAGCTTATGTTCATCCTTTTATTTACCCACGATTGAAGCTTAAATTCGAGTTTATGAAAGTTTAAAATATAAACTTTATTTAGATTTTTTAAAGATTTACCACAAAAGCTCAACTTCAACTCTTATTAAACTCATGAAGACACTACGCTAAAACTACGATAAAGTCTTTACAAAGACCAATGCTTAAAGCTGAATTTGAACCGCAAAAAAAGCTAAAAACTCTCTATTCGAAATCAGATTGATCTACATACAGATCGTGGATTGTAGCACAATTTGTTCTTTATGAAAACCTACGATTGAAGCTTAAATTAGTCCTTAGCAACATCTTCCCAAAAAGCTTAATCGCGCCAAGCTTTACACTCTACTCGGTAGTATTTAAAAGAGAACTTCGGTCATCATGGATTAAAGCTCAATGTGTTCTGTCTATGATAGTTGACGATTAAAGCTCAATTTCGTCTCTATAAGAATTTCTGATTAAAGCTTAATCATGTCATGCTTTAACTCAATTTGGAATCAAAAAAGAACTGAATCAAGAAGAACTGATTTCATTTATAAAAAGAAAATGGAATGAAGGTCAATGTGTTATCTATGAGAGGTCACGATTTAAGCTCAATTTTTTTAAAGCTCATCATTGATGATTACTTCAAATTAAATCCATGATTAAAACTTGGCTAAGACCGCTTTAAAATCTTAGATTATGACTGGTCTTTGAGTCTTGAAAGAGCCATGATTGATGACCATTATGGATTGGGTTCGTTTGATTATTCCCACGACAATTGGATCTTCGCTCCGAAATGACCCAAGTCATTCTCGGCCAATGATTGTCAACCCAGCGACAGCTGTATCAACCGAAAGCTTTTCCTCAGGAAAAAACTTTCGACTACAGTCGAACTGTTACAACAATAACCATTATGGATTAGAATAGGTTCTCTATTAAAACTCAATTTTGAACCCATAAAGATCTCAGCTTAAACTAACTAAAGATTCTCAATTCTTTTCACAAAAATAAAATTTATTTCAATGATCTTTAATTTTTATTCAAATTTCATCGGTCTTGATCAAAAACCCTGCCCCATTGTTTAACTATTTACGGCAGCTCTTTTTTATTGATTTATATGTTATATATAATAACTGGTGTCTTAAATTTTGACTTTTAATAAACACAAAAAAACCCATCATTTTTAAATATTCGATGTTTTTTTCGAACATAATAAAAACAACACCTTTTGCTGTTAAGATAAAGAATTTCTCTTTAATAAATTTATGTAAATAATTTCAAAATGACAACGACATTTTTGTTTTCGATTTTTTTGTTAAAATTTTGTTATACTTTGTTACGATTTCTTTAAGTTTTGATTGTTTTAACTGTATGACTTATGGAGTCAATGCAAAGTCTATGGTTTCTTTTTCACTGCGTTATAGTTTTAATATTCTTTGATCTTTTTTTTTATAAATTTTTGTTACATAAATTTCATATTATCATAAAATTTTATTAATTCAATATTCAAAAAAAAAAAAAACTACTACCAGTTTGTTTTTGTTTGTGTATTTGAGTAGGTTTTTGAATGTGTGATTTGTAGGTTAAATAAAATACAAATTGGTTTTAAATAAAAATTTTTTGTAGATGTTGTTATATACCAAAAGAGGGTTGGTTTTTTCATCTTAAACGTATAAGAAAATAAATCTTATTAAATGTTGTTTTAAATATGTCTTTTTTTAAGTTTTGTTTTCAAATGTCACATATAGTCACATATAGAGGGCTCTGTGTGTTAATTGTTTCTGTTTTATCTTCGAATTTCTAACTAGATTTTGAGTTATTTTCTGTTTGGTGTGTTTCTTGTAGTATTTAATTGGAATTTATTATGATGTGTTTGTTTTATCTAATGAGGTTATTGTTTAAGATGATTTTTTTTGAAAACCGGAAATTAAGATGTTTTATTAGCAAGCAAATAAGAAGCAAAATGCAAATTTCCGTTTAGTGAAAAGAAGCTAAAGTTGAAGTTGTTAGCAATAAAAACCGAACGCAATAAATCATAAGTCAATGCAGAAATATGAACCCGTTTTACGATTAAGTAGAATTTTATAATGTTAATTTGAGATAAACTGGGATTGCATAAAAAAAGCTTAACTGAGGCCTTGAATAAAGCTCAACTTGGTCTATTTAAGGATTTATGATTGTAACTCAATTTAGTTTAATTGAAGGTCTATATAAGTAACATGATTACGAAGTAACATGGTTCCTTACTTGGACTCACGATGAATGTATAAATAGAGCTTAACTAAGGCCTTGAGTAAAGCTAAAGTTAGAGTTTAAAGTTATAATAAAGTTTAAATGAAGTTCTCTATAAGTCACTCGATTAAAACCTAATTTAGTTGGAAATGAAACTTATGATGCCAGATCATGTATACATATACATCGTAAATAAAGCTCTGCTTAAGCTAATCAAAGTCTCAATATTAAAGCTCTACTTGAACTCTAAAATAAGTTAAATTATATTTTGTTAAAATCCTAGGATCAAAGCTTAACTTCGACTTTAAAAACATTAATAATTGAAGATAAACTTACACCGTTTAAAGACCAACAATTTAAACTTAATTTTGTCTATAAGTAGACCTATACTTGAAGATCATTGAAGCTTTGAAAGAACCATGATAAAATCTCAATTACTAAGTTAAAAGATCGACGATTGGCTCACGATTAAAGCTTAACTTAGTTTTCGAAATGATCCAGTTTGATCCATGTAATTGACTTCCTATTTGATAGCCATAACAAATTGTTGATTAAAGCTGATTTTGATCAGTAATTAAGAATGCGATTGGAGCTCAAGTCGGCCTCTAGAAACTTTACTAAGAAAGCTTTTACTTACGTTAGTTTAGTCTCTATACAGATTTATGATTTAAGCTTAATTTGGATTCATTAAGGGCTTATGTTTGGTGTTAAATTTTACCTAAAATTTATGATCAATTTGGCCGCAAGATCAACGATAGAAGAACAATTTGTTTGTACAACATATGAATAGTATTCAAATTGTTCCCTTTAAAAACTGACGACTAAAGATCGATTTGGTCTATACAAAGACTTCGATTGAAAGTCAATTTAAACTTGATATAAACCTAAATTTAAAGCTCAATTTTGTCCTCAAAAAGACCTCTGACTGACCTTGGTTAAATCCTAATTTTGATTCCATTTACATTCATTTTTAAAGTTTAATCTAACTGGAATTCAAGATTAGTTTCTGTCCTTTTAAGATTCACGTTTAAAGCTCAATTTGAGTAGAATATATATAATCTGTATAAGTATTAAAGCTTTACTCGGTTGCTACAAAAACGTACTATACAAACTCAATTAGCTCCCCACAAAGAAGTACAGAATATCCACATTGGATCTCTACAAAGACTCTTAATTATAAACTGTATTCGCTCTCTATAAAGGTCCACAATTGAGGGTAAAAAGTCTATAATTGGAGCATATAATGTTACCTATAACAACCCATGATTAAAGCTCAATTAGATATCTTTAAAAGTAGTGACAAAGACCCACTATGAAAACTTAAGATGGTCTCTACAAATACGCTTAAATATATACACTTTATTTGTACTCTGTAAGGGTCTAGAAGTGAAGCTCTAAATTCTACAATTGAAGCATATTTTGTTACCTATAGAAACCCATGATAAAAGCTCACTATAAAAGCTTAATTTGGTCTTTTCAAAACAAACGAAGTTTTAAGCTAAATTTTTTCCCTTTAAATCTCCACTATTAAAAGTTAATTGGATCTACATAAAAATCTTCGTATAAAGCTTAATTAGTATAAAGCTTATTAGTTTGTAAGAAGACACGTGATTCATGCTGACTATAGTGATGATTGAAACTTAATTTGATCGCTAAACAGATCAATCATCAAAGCTCTAAAAAGATCAATCGTGGAAGTATAGTTCGACATAGAGAGCTCAATTGAAGCTGATCTTCAAATTGATCAGCTGATCATCTGTTTGAAGCCTCCGAAGCCCTACGATTAAAGACCAATTTGATCTACAAAAGATTTGCAAATAAAACTTAATAAAGTTTACTATTTAACCATAACTTAGTGAAAACCTAAACTTAATGAAGCTTTACGAGGAACATAGAAAAAGCTCTAAAAGCTCTAAAAAGATCAATCAATCGTGGATGTACAGTTCGATCTACATAAAGATTTATGAATATGTATGTTAAACACAGAGATCACAATTGAAGCTGTTCTTCACATACACCGTAAATTTAAGCTTTACGGGTTTCTTCGGAAGACAGACAATTAAAGCTTCATTTTATCTATATAAAGATCTTCGTATAAAGCTTAATTTAGTTTGTAGAAAGACACGTGATTCAAGCTGGCATTAGTGATGATCGAAACTAAATTTGATGCACCTACAGACTCTCGTTTAAAGTTAATTTGCTAGCTACTAAGTTTCACCATTAAAGCTCTAAAAATATCAATCAATCGTGGATGAATAGTTCGATCTACATAAAGTTCTATTAATATTAATGGTTCTTCTGTAGACCCACGATTAAAGCTTAATTTGATCTGTATAAAGATCTTCGTATAAAGCTTAATTTAGTTTATAGAAAGTCACGTGATTCAAGGTGGCATTAGTGATGATCGAAACTAATTTGATGTACCTAGAGACACTCGTTTAAAGCTCTATTTGCTCGCTACAAAGTTTCACCATTAAAGCTCTAAAAAGATCAATCAATTGTGGAAGTACAGTTCGATCTATATAAAGATTTATGAATATGCATGGTAAACGAAGAGATCACAATTGAAGCTGATCTTCAGATACACCGTAAATTAAAGTCTTAGGGGTTTCTTCTGAAGAACCAAAATTAAAGCTTAATTGGATTTATATAAACATCTTCGAATAAAGCTGACTTTAGTGATGATCAAAACTTAATTTGTTGTACCTAGAGACACTAGTTTAAAGTTCCATTAAAGCTTTAAAAAGATCAATCAATTGTGGAAGTACATTTCGATCTATTTATATAAAGTTTTATCAATGGTAAACATAGATATCACAATTTAAGCTGATCTTCACATTGATCATCTGAACTTATGATTGAAGCTTTATGGGTTTCCCCTTAAGAACACACGAATAAAGCTCAATTTTATCTACATAACGATCTATGAATAAAGCTTAATTAAATTTAAAGAATTTACGATACCATCTTAAACTAGTGATGATTGGAACTTAATGAAGCTTTATAAGGAGCCACGATTGAACTCAATACCTTCGATAAACGCTCAGCTTAGTGGGCATAAAAACTTAAATTTGTGAACATAAAGTTCAATTATCACTTCATAAAGTGAGCCAATTGTCTCAAAACTTATGTTTTTTAAATCATACAAAATACTTTTAAAAATATCAAAACACTTACCTATTGCTATGGAAATCCAGCTTAACGTTTTATTATTTACAGTTGTCAGGAAAAAATTATAAAAATGCATAAATTTCTTATACGTCTTTATTAGCAGCTACCAAGAAGATTAAAATTTCTTCTTTTATTTTTTTCGCTTTATTAATTTTAAATTTTTCTTACTTTAGCACTTTTTTCTCCAATGCGTTTAATTATTATATATATATTTTTTTTGCTTATAATATATTTAAAATACTTTTGTGCTCTAATCTCATTTGTTTATTAACAGAGTCTGTTTGTTTTGTTTTTTATATTTATTATAGATTTTTTTTCAAAACTTATGTATTTGTTTGTCTTGCTAAACCACACCTTTATTGTATGAATTGTTTGTATTGGCTAAAAAAAAAAAATGATAAAATAATATATATTGTTGAGAGATTTTTTTTGCAAAATGAAATGAAAAAAAATTGTTTAAATATTTGTTTTGTTATCTGTAGTAGAGTTTTTGTCTGCTGTTTTTCTGTTATCGTTTTTTTATGAAAGTGTGAAAATTCGTTTGTATATTTGTCTCTACGATTTTTTTATTACACTCTCTTAAACTTTGTAATCTGTAATCTGTTTGTTGTGCAATTTTGTGTAAGCATTTTAGTTTTTTTTTTTTTTTTGCTTTAATGTTTTCTTAAAAAATTTAGAACATTTGTAATTATAATGTTAATTATTGAAGGTATTTTGTAGGTGAGCTAAAGGTTGTTATTTGTTGTGTATATTTAAAAGGGGATTTATGTAACAGTTTACTTAATTAATGACACTTTTTTTAAATATTTTTTTTTAAAATTTATTATCAATCAACCATAATGACTTCCTTCAGTAAGGCTTTAAAACAATTCGCATTCCATTCTGTAATAAAAGTTGTTAATATTTTTACTTTATTTTGATAAAATCATAAGTTTAAAATTTTACCCAAAATTTAATCACAATTTGATCTTCATTGGTAGAGGTTATTAAACTATACGATGATCCTCCATTTAATTCAAAATATGACCTACGATCGAATCACAATTAAGTCTTTTTTTAGCAAAATCTTCATTGTTACCACTCATAAAGTGATCTTCATAGTTAACCTGAATTAGTCGATACAAGATCATTCATTTAATACAAAATTTAACATACGATCGAATCTCTATTTAGTCTATATGAAGACTACTTGAAGATCAATTTAATCATTATGATCATCGACATTGACAAAGTCACAAATATAAATTGAATTAGGAATCAAGTCATAATCCAACAGAATGATTTCTATTTGAAACACTTCGAACCCTATTTATGAGTTCTATGTTTAATTGATACGAGAAAACAAATCAACATAACATGAAAATAGCAATAAGCTACAGAATACCTTGTTCTTAGCTAAATGACCCCAATAGAATGATACCTATTAGAGAGAGTTATATGAAAGAAAACAATTTGGTCCTTCGAACCATGTTTAGATTTCTATATAAAACTGACATAATAATGAAAATCTAAATACTCGGACATACGTAATATATACTTGCTTATAACAGAAAGATTCCCATTCGAAACTTTACAAATAATAATTTGGTCCTTCGAGCCGTATTAGTAGTTTTTATAGTTGAATGAATACAAGAATCCAAATCTTTATACAATGAAATCTACATTATAGAAATTCTATAATAAAGATTTTCATCTTATCAATTGAATAAGCAAAATTTTCTTAATTATTATTTTGCACAGAAAGTTTTTCATTTGAAATATCAATTTGGTCCTACGAACCTAATTGATGATTAATGCTTTGAAAGTGTTTGCCTTTGCAATTTGTAAACAAATTATTGAATGTTGTGTTTGCAACTTCATTTTGAATGTTTTAGTTTTTTCTAGTTTGCCTGTCTGTCTGTCTGTCTGTCTGTTTATCTAGATTCTAAGATGATCAAGGCATGTCCGTCTGTCTGTCTGTCTGTCTGTCTATTTATCTGCCTGTCTTTCTATATATTTGTCCGTCTGTCTATATCTGCTTTTCTGACAGTCTGTCTTTCCCTCTATTGAAATCACGATAGTTTCCGAAGTAAAGGTACTATAGTACTATACTACTACTTTTGCCAAAATGTTTTCTATTAAAAAGGTGTGTTTGATATTGAAAATGTGAAATTTCAGTGAAAGATTACAATTAGTGACCATACAAGTCCCACTCAGGAATTCTGTCTGTCCGTCTGTTTAAAGTACTTCAATTTCCGAAGAGAAGAAATTGTTTTGTTTGCTAACTTCATTCTAAATGTTTTAGTTTCTTCTATTTGGCCTGTCTGTCTGTTTATCTATATTCAAAGATGATCAAAGCATGTCCGTCTGTCTGTCTGTCTTTCTATATATCTGTCCGTCTGTCGTCTTTCTATGTACATACTTATGTATGTCTATCATTCTGACAGTCTGTCTTTCCGTCTATTGAAATCAAGATGGATCTAAAGTGCTCATCTTTTGCCAAAATGTTTTCTGTTAATAAGGTGTGTTTAATATAGAAAATGATAAATATACGTGAAAGATTACAAATAGTGCTCATACAAGTCCCTCCCAGGAATTCTGTCTGTCCGTCTGTTTAAAGTACTTCAATTTCCGAAGAGAAAGAAAATCGCTGAACGATTGCAAATAGTCCCCATAAAAGTGAGACTCAAGAATACTTTCTAACTGTTTGTCTGTCCGTCTGTATAAAGTTTTCGAAAGGGAAGAACTAGAGGACTTAAGCAAAAAATATTCTCTGTTAATAAGGTTTATATAATATTGAAAATGTGCAATTTCAGAGAACGATGTCACATGGCCGCCATACAAGTATATCTGTCTGTCCGTCTATTGATGCAAGTTACACTCAGAAATACTGTCTGTCTGTCCGTTTATTGATTCAAGTGATACTCGGGAATATTGTCTGTCTGTACATCTATTGAAATCAGAATAGTTTGCGAACGAAAGGAACTAAATGTTATATTTAAAAAAGAATTGTTTGTTATTGAAAATGAACAGTACAAGGGAATGATTCCATACATTCCCCATACAAGTGATACTCACGAATAATGTCTCTCTGTCCGTGTTTGAAAGCACAATAGTTTTTAAATAGGAGCAACTAAAAGGCTTAACTTTTTCCAAAATATTAATAATAAGTTAATAATAAGTTAATAAGTTAAACATTCTATAGAAAATGAGCAAAAGGTCTCTATACAAACGACATTCAGGAATTCTTTCTGTCTGTCGGTTTGTTGTCATTAAAATCCCGATTGTTTCTGAACGGAAAGAACTAAAAGGCTGAACTTATTCTAAGATATTATCTGTTAATGAGGTTTATTTATACAAGTGATACTCAGGAATGCTGTCTTTTCATACATCTATTGAACGATAGTTTCCGAATCAAGTGGCACTCAGGAATGCTGTTTGTCTATCCGTCTATTAACACAAGTGATATCTAAGAATGCTGTCTGTCCGTTTCCGAATGAAAGAAACTAATGAGCTGAACCTTTATCATAATATAATCATTTAATAACAATTATCTGTCTGTCCGTATATTGAAAGTACGATAGTTTTAAATGGAACTAGAAGGCTGAACTTTTGCCAAAATGTTCTCTGTTAATAAGGTTTATATAGTATTGAAAATTAATAATATACGAGAATGATTCCACATAACCTACACTACATATAAAAGTTACACTGTGTAATAATTTCTGTCTGTCTGTCTGTCTGTCTGTCTGTCCGTCCTTCTATTTAAAGCTCATTATTTATAATTTTGTTAAAATTTGTTTATTCAAGTTATTAAAATCACATATTCAGTTCAATTAATCAGTTTTTTAAAAACGTTTAAAAGTCATAGTTTTAATTTGTTTTTATTTAAAATTTTATATTTTTAATAATTTTTTTAATTTTTTTAACACTTTTTCATTTTTGAAAATATGTGTTAAAAGTTTTTGTAAAAAGTTGAAATATTTTAAAATTTAAAAAAAATTATTAATTTTATTTTTTTTAAATTACATTTAAGAAAAACATTAAATTTTAAAAAAATTTTCCCAAATTTATTTCTTCTTAAATTTTTATTTTTTTAAAGTTTAAGTTTTTATTATACTATATCAAGTCTTTTTAAACTTTTGTGTTTATTTAGCATTTTGTTAAAAGTTTTTTTATTTATTTATTTTATTAAAAATTTTTTAATTTTTTCTATATTTTTTCATATTGTTTCATATTGTTTATTTTTTTTATAAATTTTCATTTAATTATTTTATTTTTATTAAAAACAATTATTTCCAGCAATTTTTTTTTATTAAAACTTTAAAAGATAATTATCATACGCACGTGCGTTTAACAGTATATACAAACATACATACATGTGTATTGTATAAATAAACACAAGTATATAACTATTACATATATACTATTAAAATAACATAGTATTAGTTGTTTGTTATTGTTGTTGTAGTTTGCCGTTGTCAAAATGTAACACCCAAAAAAATCGAAATTTACATGACTGTGTCTTTTAACTTTGATTTTTTTTCCAAATTTTTATATTTATTTGTAATCTTATTGTCCGTTAACAACACAAATGTTAAAGCGACGGTCTTTTATTTTCTTTAGGTTTTTTTTTATTATTTTTTTATTTATTTCATTAAACGATTGTATTGTATTAAAATTTTTTACTTTACTTTTTACAAATCGATTGAACGGTTGCTTGTTTATTCGGTTACTATTTAAACACGAACGAACGTTACTTTTTTTTTTTTGCTGTCTTATCTACAGACTGTTGTTTTGATGTTTGTATTGTAGCTCAATATTATAGCGAACGTAGGTACGTGCACCAGCAAGAAGCGCGAAGTACCACTAAAGACTGACTGTGATGTTAAACAGTTCTGCAAAATGCCTTCGAAAAAATACTACAACACAAAACATACATAGAGACACACAGAGCTATATACTACACAGCACAGCGGCACAGACACACAGAGTACAGAGTGTATCCGAACTGAACACAAAAAAAAAAAAAACCCAATAACCAAACAACGTCATATATATTTTACTCTAAGTTTAATACCAGAATCTGTTGTTGTTTAGTTTTGGAAACAAAAATGAAGAAAAAATTAATAACAGATGCTTTGACTATATGTTTTTTTTTGTGTGTTATGTGCAAAACAGCAGCTCTATTAAACGAAATTTTTCTTAAAATAAATCTACTCTGTATTGCCACCTTAAGTTATCAGTCTTAAACAATAATGCTCTATAGTTGTTGGTGGTTGGTAGTTAACCAAGTAGCTGCTGCCATCCATACCAGAAGTATCATCATGAATGCGCTAAAGAAACCAACACATAAGACATCAAATATTTCAAACTAAACGCTCTTTGTTAAGCAGAAAAAAAAAACACCACAAATAATTTTTAAACATAAACCGTAAGATTTTTTCTTAACATTATTGTTGTTGCCAACAAAACTCAAGCAAAATGATAAAGAAGATTTAAAACTTCTTAAAGACTTTAACATTCAAAGAGTAAATGTCAGAAATTTAACAGAAAACTAAAGTAAATGTTAATAACAAATAAGCTGAAACTTAACAGTTTGTTTTAACAGCTTACAAAGATCGTGTGAAAACTCTTTTAATTTTAAAATATTTTAACGGAATGTTAAAAAATCTTTGTTTTTTGTAAAGAGTAAAGCATTAAATGTTATTTGTGTAAATGTTACAGTTTAACAGTTAATGTTTTTAAAAAGAGTATCTATAGCATTAGGAGTTTGTGTATGTGTCTTAAGTCTTTTGTTTTGTCATTTAATATTGTGATGTTTATTTTCTTATGTTTACTAAACAGAAACAATGGATGATTGTTTAAAATGTGATTTTTTTTTAACTAAAAAGAAAATTAAAGTTAAAGTATTAAATCTAAACAAGTGTTCTTCAAGTACAATTAATACATTTATTGGATAGTTCTATATAGATAATTTCGTCAAACCACCATGACAAACCACACATTGCTAGCTATGACCTTTTTCCATCTTTCTGTCAACATATGGATTCCACGCCTACAGTTCTTCCAGTTCTATATATTGTTCTGAAGTGAAGCTTATCCAAGACTAAAATAGAAAGAAAGTGGAAAGAATAGCAATCTGACGAAGCAAGGTCTGATCAAATTCTGGTTCCTTTTCGGACAATGTTTGCTTCAAACGAATCAGTTGCATTTAGTACATGTTCCCTGCGATAGTCTGGCCTGAGTTCAGCAGCCCCTAAAAGATTGCAACCTTTTCGTTCCACCAAATAGAGAGCATTACCTTAGCGCTTTGTGTATTTGGCTTTAGTGTTGATAAGGTTGATGATCGGGCTTCATATGCAGTGCAAAACTGATTTGCTTTTATAGCATTCAAACAGTATTTCGTATACGCGAAATCATCTTTCAAAGTCTCCTACCTTCATTACGGTATTTGATACAATTTCACTCCTTTGGAAGACATTTTAGAAACTGCTGCTTAAGTAGCTGCAGTGAGTTTGAAAAATATTTTAATGGAATAATGTCTCCTATTCTTGACCTTTAAACTATTTTGGTTTTGATCTTCGCCCATCTTTCTGGCAACATACAGTTCTTTCAGTTCTATTAAGAACAGGCTTAAATGAGGACTATTTCGCATATCTTGTTCTGAAGGGGAGCTTATCCAAGAGTAAAATAGAAAGAAAGTGGAAGAGTTCGGCATTGATCGTAAAGAATAGCAGTCAGACAGTGCAAGGTCTGGTAATGTTCGAATATAACGCCTTCATATTTGGCCATCAATTCTGCTCGCTTTGTGGTCAATGGTTGCTTCAATCGAATCAGTTGTATTTAGTACATGTTCCCTGTGATAGTCTGGTGTAAGTTCAGCAGCTCATATAAGATTGCAACCTATTCGTTCCACCTTATATAGATCGTTACTATAGCGCCAATTATATTTGGCTTTGGCGTAGATAAGGATGGTCGGGCCGGGCTTCATATACGGTTTCTTATGCTTCTATTTGTCATAAAGAATCAATTCTTCATTGCAAGTAATGATACTATGCAAACACGAATTGCTTTAATTGTGTTCAAAAAGTATTCCCACCTTCTTTACGTACTTGACACAACTTCACTGCTTTGGATGAAACATTCTGTTGGCAAACATTTTGAAGTGGATGGTGGCGCAGCTCAAGTAATTTCGAAGGAATAATGCCTCCTGCTCTTGGTCTTTAAAATTTTTGGGCGAGTATGGATTGGAAACACGATAGAATCCAAGAGAGAGAGAAGCTACAATTTTAGCTAATGCTTCCTATTCATGGAGATCTGACTTGGAAGTTGAAGTGCTTAAATTTTTAACCAACATTCTCTATTGATACGTTTTATAACGTTTCACGTTATCAACTATTTAGCAGCCATACAATTGTCACCCTTGACTACAGTTTAAACCAATATAAATATGTTGATTCTATAGCAATAGTGAACCATCATTCTGATGCAATGAATTATAATTCTATCAAATTCTGTAGAGTTCAGTCAAAGAGCCCATTGAAAGCCCCTTCCTCGTGGTACTAAGGGATCGATATAATAACACAGGCAAACAAATTTTTAAGCCTGAGGAGTGAGTAGACTATTTTAAAGGTCTAGTCTGCACTGAATCCTAAACTAATCTCAAAATTTTCCGACCACTTTACGATATTTTAGGTTAACGTTTGAAAAAACCCAGTTTTTCACCATTTTCGAGATGTTATTACAGCGCGAAGTCACTTATTTTTATTTCCTTTTAAAGTTTGTGTCCTACATCTTTCATTTACCAGCGAAATGCTTTAAGCGAACAGTATTTTCAAGGTTTGTTTTGCAAAAATATGTTTATTAAATCTTTTGTTTAGACAATTAAATTTTCGATAAAAGTGCTTCCTGTAGCTCATTTTGTTCCTTTTCTAACTTCTGTAGAAGTTAGTTTTGTTACAATACAAGTTTGTGTCTTAAGTTGTTTGTTTCTTAACAGAATTCTGTAGCAGAGAAAGAAATAGAGTTTGTTGCTTAAGTTTCTTATTGAAACTTTTCATTTTGTACATTTCATAATTTGTTATTTTTTGTCTAAATGAATGCAGTACCTTCTATTACTACAAAAAGTTTGTTTCTTAAGTTTTTTGTTTTTCAAACTAAATCCATAAAAAGAGAAAGAAAAGGGTGTTTGTTTCTTAAGTTTTTTGTTTAATCATTTAATTTTCTTCATTTACTCTAACTTAAGATTCTTAAATCTTTTAGAATTTTTTGAATTTAAAGATTTTAGATTAGTAATCAAAAGTTTGTTACTTAAGTTTCTCGATTTAAAGATTTTAACAAAATCTTATGACTAACAAAATATCAAGTTTGTTTTTTAAGTCTTTTAGAAGTGGTCATCTCATCGAAAGTTTGTTACTTAAGTGTTTTGTAATTATACTTTTTCTAATGTTTGCAATTATTAATATATGAACATTTTAAGTTAAATTCTTAAATATTTTTCATTTAAAATGTTTATGATATAAACGATTGTAGCAGTTTCTATGAAAAAAGTTTGTTTCTTAAGTTTTTCGTTTCTTTTTTTCTTAAGATTTTCGTTTAAACGTTTCCTTTGATAGATTTTACGTTTATTTTTTAAATCTTTATTTCTTAAAATTCTGATATGTAGTTGAATATAAGTTTGTGTCTTAAGTCTTTTATATAAAAGTGAATCCTTTAGCGTTTATTCGATCAAAAATGATGTAAAGACTGCTTATATAAATAGATGTAGTTAGTGTCTTAAGTTTATCAGTTATACAGCAAAAACCTTTAGAAAAGACTAAGCCAAAGTTTGTTGTTTAAGTCTATTTTTTAGTCGAATGTTTCATTAAATTAAAATTTAAATATTTTTTAATAAAATCCTTTGATTGACAAAAGATCAGGTTTGTTTCTTAAATTTTTCGTTGAAACGTTTCCTTTGACACATTTTACGTTTATTTTTTAAATCGTTATTGCGTTAAATTTTCATATGAATTTGATTGAACGTTTGTGTCTTAAGTCTTTTGTATAAAAGTGAATACTTGAGCGGTTATTCGATCAAAAGTGATGTGATGACTGCTAATATTGAAAGATGATGTTGCTGTCTTAAGTAGATCAGTTTCGCAGCAAAATCCTTTAGTAAAGATTACAACAAAGTTTGTTGCTTAAGTCTTTCGTTTAGTTGTATGTTTAATTAAATTAAAATTGAAATATTTTTAACAAAATCCTTTGATTGACAAAATATCAAGTTTGTTTCTTAAGTTTTTCATTTAAAAGTTTCCTTTGAAACATTTTACGTTTAATTTTTAAATCTTTATTTTTTTAAATTCTCATATAAATTTGATTGAAAGTTTGTGTCTTAAGTCTTTTGTATAAAAGTGAATTCTTTAGCAATTATTCGATCAAAAGTGATGTAGTGACTGCTAATATGTTTATATGAAGTTAGTGTCTTAAGTTTACACGTTTTACAGCAAAATCCTTTAGTAAAGAATACATAAAGTTTGTTGCTTAAGTCTTTTGTTTAGCCGTGTGTTTAATTAAATTCAATTTTTTTATTTTTCGACAAAATCCTTTGATTTAAATTTAAATCTTTATTTTTTTAAATTCTCATATGAATTTGATTGAAAGTTTGTGTCTTAAGTCTTTTGTATAAAAGTGAATTCTTTAGCAATTATTCGATCAAAAGTGATGTAATGACTGTTAATATAAATAGATAGTAGAAATAGAAGTTTAGCTGTTTTATAGCAAAATCCTTTAGCAAAGATTAAAACAAAGTGTGTTGCTTAAGTCTTTTGTTTATTCGTGTGTTTAATTCAATTAAAATTGAGATATTTCCATAAATCTCAGTAGTTTTCAAAATTTAAACATTTAACAGTGAAGTTTTTGTCTTCTTTTTAT